CACAGTGACATTCCAGGGGGACACACAGTGACATTCCATGGGGACACACAGTCCTAGCACTCCCAGTGTCCCCAGGCACCCCCGGTGTCCCCAGGTGTCCCCTGGCACCCCTAGATGTCCCCAGGCACTCCCAGTGTCCCCTGGCACTCCCAGTGTCCCCAGATGTCCCCAGGCACCCCCAGGTGTCCCCAGGCACCCCCAGATGTCCCCAGATGTCCCCAGGCACCCCCAGATGTCCCCAGGTGTCCCCAGGCACCCCCAGATGTCCCCAGATGTCCCCAGGCACCCCCAGGTGTCCCCAGATGTCCCCAGGCACCCCCAGGTGTCCCCACACCTTGCCAGCTGTTGGTAGCGCCCCACGATGTCCCCGTCGAGTGGCTCTGCCAGCGCCAGGCTCTGCTGGGGACTGTCCCCGATGAAGTCGAAGCCCTCGGGCAGGAACACGGCCCGGGCCCCGCGCGCCGCCGCGCGCCGCACCAGCGCCGAGCACTGCCGCCAGTTGTGCTCCTTGTCTGCCGTGGATGTCACCTGTGCCACCGCCACCAGCCCCCCTGGGGACACCGCCATGGCCGCGGGGCTGTGGGGAGGGGACACGATGGGGGACGCTGCTGGCCTTGGGGACACTGCCATGGCCGCAGGGCTGAGGGGAGGGGACACGATGGGGGACACTGCCGACCTTGGGGACAGTGCCATGGCTGAGGGGAGGGGACACGATGGGGGACACTGCCATGGCTGAGGGGAGGGGACACGATGGGGAACACTGCCAGCCCTGGGGACAGTGCCATGGCTGAAGGGCTGAGGGGAGGGGACACGATGGAGGACACTGCCAGCCCTGGGGACAGTGCCATGGCCGCGGGGCTGAGGGGAGGGGACACGATGGGGGACACTGCTGCCCCTGGGGACACTGCCATGGCCGCAGGGCTGTGGGGAGGGGACACAATGGGGGACACTGCCATGGCTGAGGGGAGGGGACACGATGGGGAAAACTGCCAGCCCTGGGGACAGTGCCATGGCTGCAGGGAGGGGGCACGATGGGGGCCACTGCCAGCCCTGGGGACAGTGCCATGGCTGCAGGGAGGGGGCACGATGGGGGCCACTGCCAGCCCTGGGGACAGTGCCATGGCTGCAGGGAGGGGGCACGATGGGGGCCACTGCCAGCCCTGGGGACAGTGCCATGGCTGCAGGGAGGGGGCACGATGGGGGCCACTGCCAGCCCTGGGGACAGTGCCATGGCTGCAGGGAGGGGGCACGATGGGGGCCACTGCCAGCCCTGGGGACAGTGCCATGGCTGAGGGGCTGTGGGGAGGGGACACGATGGAGGACACTGCCAGTCCTCCTAGGGACACTGCCATGGCTGCAGGGAGGGGACACGATGGGGGACACTGCCAGCCCTGGGGACAGTGCCATGGCTGCAGGGAGGGGACATGCTGGGGGACCTCAGAGGGACAGGGGGACACTGCCATGGCTGAGGGGACAGCGCCGTGGCCATGGGGCTGCAAGGAGGGCACATTCTGGGGGACACTGCTGGCCCTGGGGACACTGCCATGGCCCTGGGGACACTGCCATGGCCCTGGGGCTGTGCGGAGGGGACACCAAAGGCACCTCATGGGGATTGGGGACACCCCACAGGGCCGGGGTTCACCCCATGGGACACCTCAAAGGGATTGGGATCACCCCACAGGACACCTCAAAGGGACTGTGGACACGCCACAGGCCACCTCCTTGGGGACAGGGACACCCCTGGGAACTGAGACACCCCCAGGTGACCCCATGAGGACCAGGGTCACTCTTGAACCGCCCCCCTCACCCACCTGGGGTCACCCCCAGGGTCACTCTCAGCCCCCTCGGGGGTTTTTGGGGTCCCCCCCCCGGTGTTTTTGGGGTCCCTCCGTACCTGCCCGCAGTGCTGGAGCTGTGGGGGGCTCTCGAGGGTCTTGGGGGGCGGCACAGCAGGGCCCGGGGGGGCACCCTCAGCCTGGGAGGGGGACACCCCAAATTGGGGAGGGGTCACAGGGCTGGGGGGGGAGCTGGAACCCCCCAAACTGCCCCTGAATCCCCCCAAACTGCCCCAAATACCCCCCAAAAATACCCCCCAAACTGCCCCAGCCGCCTCAATTTGGAGCCCAAAGTACGCCAGCTCCCTGAAAATGCTCCCAGATCCCCCCAAATTGTCCCCAAATTGCCCCAAATTACCCCCAAACTGCCCCAATTTGGACTCCAAAGTATCCAGCCCCCCTAAACTGCCCCGAGAAGTTCCCAACAACCCAAATACCCCCAAAACTGCCCCGATTTGATCCCAAACTGCCCCAGGCCTTCCCAAAACTGCCCCAATTTGGATCTCAAAGTACCTCGTGCCCACCAAAACTGCCCCCAGATGCTCCAAAGTGCCCCAAATTCCTCCCAACACACACAAATACCCCCCAAACTACCCCAATTCGGATCCCAAACTACCCCCAGACGCCCCCAAACTGCCCCAAACACCCCTCAATTACCCCAAAAAGCCCCAAACACCCCCAAATTTCCCCAAACTGCCCCAATTTGGACCCCAAAGTAGCCCGGACCTCCCCAAACTACCCCCAAACCACTTCCCCCGTCACCTCCCACCTGTCCCCAAACCTCCAAAATCCCCAAAATCCCCGCACCTTCGCCCTTCCCTCACCCCCAAACCCCCTCCTCCCCCACACTTTTTTCCCGTTTTTCCCGTTTTTCGCCCCGTTCCCGTACATTCCCCGCCGGAGGCAGCGCGGGCAAAGTCCCCCCCTCAGGGCTGCCCTCACCCAAGATGGCGCCGTTCCCGCCTCACCCGCACCTAAGATGGCGGCCGGAAGTGGCGGCGCCGTGCCCGGGGCAGGAACGGAAGAGGCGGTGCCGCGCCGGTAAAGATGGCGGATCCGGTGAAGGGGCGATCGGTAGCACCGGCCGGGAAAGGACTGAGCGCTGAGCAGGTCATGAGGGAAACCGGGAATTGGGGAGGGGGCTGGGAAAGGGGAGGGGTCCCTGGGAGCTTCGGGGAGGCAGAGGAGTGATGGGGGGAGCGGAGGGGAGGTGGGCCTGGCCGTGAGGGGAAGGTGGGGGGTGAGGGCTGTGGGACCCGGGGCGGTTGGGGAATGAGGGAGGGGTCCCTGGTAACCGTGAGGGGTCCCTGATAACCGTGAGGGGTCCTTGATAACGGTGAGGGGTCCTTGGTAACCGTGAGGGGTCCTTGGTAACCGTGAGGGGACCCTGGTAACGGGGAGGGGTCCCTGATAACGGGGAGGGGTCCCTGATAACGGGGAGGGGAAATGGAGGGGGAGGCCGGGGCCTGAGGGAAGGTGGGAAGGGGGGGGAGGGTCCCTGGCACCGGGAGGGGTCTCTGGAGGGGTTGGGGGATGAGGAGGGGTCTCTGGGGGGCTGCTGTGGGGTTGGGGGGATTTTGTTCCTCAGGGGTTCCCCCTCATCCCGGGGCTCTCCTGGTGCCCCCAGTGAGATCCAGTCCCAGAGATCCCATCCCGAGGATCCCATCCCAGTCCCAGAGATCCCATCCCGGGGATCCCAGTCCCACAGATCCCATCCCAGGGATCCCAATTTTCCCAGTCCCAGTTTATCCCAACCCAGTCCCATTCCCAGCTCTCCCATCCCGATTTATCCCAATCCAATCCCATTCCCAGCTCTTCCATCCCAATTTATCCCAATCCAATCCCATTCCCAGCTCTCCCATCCCGATTTATCCCAATCCAATCCCATTCCCAGCTCTCCC